AGCGGGGCCGAGGCCGTGCCGGGATTGCCGTCCTTTGTGGGCAGACGCAGCCGGGGACTCTGAGCTCAGCCTGCCGAGCACTTCACGGCCCACTCACCGCCCCCCAGCAGCTCCGCACACTGCCTCCACTGCTTTCCTATCCCTCGACCATCGCGGTTGCTTCTCTGCCATCTTCTGACCTCCTGGTACCCTGTGGGAGCTCTCTCCTTCGCAGCACACCTGCAGCAGCTACCCTACCCTCCTGCTCTCCAGAAAAAGCAAGCTACAATTAGCAGGGCTGTATTTAAGCGAGGGTTTTTGACGGCGCTCAGCCCAAACGTGGGTCATGCGGGCGTCCGCGCCCTCGCCCTGCTGCAGGGGGTGCTTTTGCTGACAAACAGGAGCGCTAAAGACCAGCAGAACCGAAGCGCCCTGACCAGAAATGCACAGCATGAGGTGTGTGTGCACGTATACCCACACACACATACATACAGAGTATAGAAATATATACAAATGAGATACCATATATATATATCCAGAGAGATGTGCGTATTCAACAGAGTAACGGGAGACAGCGGTACGATACAATTTATTGCCTCTCAAGAAATGGCACAGGGGCAGGGGCGACGGGGCAAGGGCAGCCCCAAGGAGGAGGGGTTCATAAACAGCATCAGCCCAGGAGGTACCAGGGCGCACCCCATGCAGGTCACAGCCACGTTTGGCTGGAGCAGGGGGGACAGAGCGATGCCAGCCCGGCCCCGAGCCAGGCAGGGGATTTGGCCGCAGGAAATTTTCTGTGGAAAGCTTAGGATCGTACCACGTTTATTCCTTCAACCCCTTTGAAGCTCACGGGCTCGGAGCGGGCGCAAGGTGAAGCGGAGCCGCAGTCTCCGTTTCAGCGGCGCATCCAAGGAGGGAAGGACGCAAAGTTCAGCGTGGATGGGAGAGGTGGCTGCTGCCTGCCTGGGACCACTGAGAAAAGCACAGTCCCTTTCACTGATTTTAATTCAATAAATTCAAAACAGATTCAAATCAAAAAGAGGTGAAAATGCTGGCTCTTCTGTTTTGTTTCTTTTTACCATCTCTGGGCTAAACTTTAGGTCTTTGCAAAGGGGAGAGAAAAATAACCAAAGAGTAAGAGATGTCAGGGGTCGAGCTGGTGACTTTAAAATACTGCAATAAAATTTGCAAAGTAGTCCTTACAGAAGAGCTTCGCCAGTGTTAAATATGAACATAAAAGATGTAAAACAACATCTTTGCTGAGGTACTGGAGTAGTTTCCGCAATTTACAGATTACAGCATTTTTAAAACCAAAGTTAGGGCATGACTGCAACAAGCACAGCACGGAGCAATTTGCCTCACTTTTAAAAAAATAGAGAGTTTGCAAACTGATTCAGAGAGCGCTTGCGTCTCTCTAGCGTATTTTATAGTCGCGTATCTCAGAAATACACCCGAGATACATTAAAATCCTCAACACCAAGGGCCTCCTCGTGTACCTCCAAGGCACAGCCTGACCCCAAGCCCCTCTGCGTAACCGGGTGCTTTCTCAGATGAGGCTCATTTTGGGACAGCTTTCCTTCCCCCACGGACACACAGGGACACACACATTTAGACCAGGTGATCTGAATCAGTTTTTGCAAACTATTTTAATTAAAATATTAACTTGTCGGAATAGTCCAGGTCTGCACATGATATACATGTAAAAATGGTTACTACACAATTCGTTTTGAATACAAAAAAAAAAAAAAAGCCAATATGGAATAGCCGTCATTTGGATTCAGCATTCAGTCATGCTTGACATTACACAAAGAGATGGGTTGAGAGAATTCTGTTGAAGTAGCTCAATTGAAGCCAGAGACTTTGACCAAATTCAAACCATAGCAGAAGCAAACGAAGGAACCCACTGAACTCGCAGGTACAGCCCAGCCCCGCTGTCACTGCTGCTGTCTGGGATAGAGGAGCTGCACTTCAAGCCGCTGCGTTAGAGCCACGCTCTGGGCGCACCCTCCACTCTCAGCGGTAAATCCTACGCGATTTTGCCCTTTCATTTCATTGTTGTCTTCCTTTCCAAACCCAGGAAAATACAGGCGCCTTTCCTCGGTTTTGCTGAGTTTCAATGACACCGCAATGCAAAAGAATGACCCCAAAACGTCCAGTTCCACATAAAAACACAGCGGAGGAAAGGCCAGGACAATTCCTGGTCACCGCCTGCCCCAGAGGCAACCAGAGCCACCTCCACGGGGCCACCGCCTCATCCCAGGCTCCCGCCAACCACAAAGCTCCTCACTCAGGGGCTGCTCAAACGTATTTTGGTAGAGTTTCCACCTCGGATCAGAGCGATATGCTACGTCAAGACGCTAGGAATCCCAGCTGGGTTCAGCGGACACTGGCAGAGAGTTAAGGATTGGGAGTGGATGTTAATTTAGCAAACGAAAGAACGTCGCCCTGTCGAGTACTGAACAGCAGCGAGACACTAGAGTATTTACTATATAAATATGTCACATGGACAAACACATTCGGAAAACCTTGCTTTTGAGCCCTATAAACATATTAAAGGCAAATCCTAGAGTTAGCAGCTAGTGTTTTTTCTTCAAGATGATTAGTGTGCAAGGAAAAACATTTACAAAGAACCCTGGCTGGTCAGTCCCCGAGACGGAAACCTTCGCCTCGAGCCAAACTTCATCTCCCTGCTCTTCCCCTGGCCTCACAGCGCTGGCAGGAGAGCACGGGGGCATCTCCAGTTCCCAGCGCTACGGGGTGACGCGACGCCACAAAGTCGTTCGGTTCGCCAGACTCCCTGCCCCCTTTATCACCGTGACGGGTTTCACGACCTCTGCTTCCTTTCAGTAGTACAGCAGCTCCGAGGAGCCTCTGGAAGTAGTGCCTTGGCGCATGGTGCGATACGCTGCCCGAATATCACAGCATCTCAAGGGACTGTAAAAGTTGTGAAGTATTGCAGCAACGAAAATAATAAAAAAGGAGCCTCACATGCAGCAAGATCTACAGTGGTGATGTGGGTTAGTCATCAGCTAAGAGTCATTGGCTCAGCTCCTCCTGGTACACTGTGGCAACTAAACATTTAAACAGTTGGCTACACTCTACATGTAAACAGGAAACTGCAACAAGCCCAAAAGGTAATAAATTGATGGATGTAGTGTAATAATGAAAAACCTGATCAATGGCATTTTGTGACTATGGCATCCTTCAAAATACCTCTGGCATTTGAGACTGATTGGCTGAAAAGTCTTAACGTTTCTGAATGGAGCAGAAAGGACTACGCTGAGCTCCAAGAATTATTCTGATGCTTAGCTAAAATGAGATGTCACAGTATTAGCTGTACAAGTGCATTATTTACGCTCCTCCGCCCAACCTCGTCTGAGCTACCAGCAGCACAGCCAGGGAGTGCCAACGCAGGAGCACAGTTCTGAACATTTCTAGCCCGTTCCCTCCCGGCAGCTTTACCTACACAGATCTCGGGAAGCTGACCAGTGCCTTCTGAGAGAACATCGCTTCTTAAACGACACGGAGTGGGCACTTGGGTAAAAGGGCCCTGCTGAGCCCTGGTGTCTCTTGGCCTCTCTTCTCACCCTTCTTCCTCACCTAAACGCCTTTGAAAAAGCCCCTCGGCAGAGGCAATACCCTAGAAATGTATCCAAATAAAAAGGGAACAGAGGATCCAGCTGTTCCTCCCCTGGATGTTGGTTTAAAGGCAGCTCGCCTGGTTCTTGTGGGATGGCAGCTGGAAATTTATGGACATGGGAGGAGGTCTCCATTCTCCCTCAGACTTCCTACGGATGGCGTGATGAGGGCAGCCTGAGGCCCTTCTGTCCTGTCAGTGTGACGACCACCAGCCAACTCTTCTGACTAATTGCATATATTTCTCAGACGCCCTCCCAAGACCCCTCCGAAACGTAAAAAACAACAACAGAAAAAAACCCAAAAAAACCACCCCCCCCCCAACCTTGCAGCCAAATACTATGACATCCCAGTTAGTAAACACAAAACGTAATGCTTTACAAAATGAATACAATATTCCATGTGCACCCAGCTTCCACACGTCAGCACCGCACTGAGGAGGCTGCTGGGCTGGTGTCTGTAGGCAGTTTCTGTTGGCAGACAGCTCCAGTGGAATTGCCACCCTCAGTTATTGTTTAAGTTATGTATAAGACATGTGTGAACCATTGGATATTTGTGAAGTAACACTTGTGCTCCTGCTCATGCCCTGTTCCGTCCGTCCCCCAGAAGCTGTCCGCCTCAGAGCCTGGGGGCTGTTGCGGACCCCTAAACCACTACTTCGAGGTACCCCCTGCATGGGCCCCGAGGGGTGACCCCATGGCTGGGGTCCACCTTGCATTGGATGGCCCCAAGCTTGTGGTGGGCCACCCATGGGATGACCCCAGTGAGGTCCTGCACCCCCAGTAGGATTGTGGGACCAGCCAGAAGCTCCCGGGTAGCTGTGGCTGAACGCCTCGGGGGAGAGATTAGAAAGAACCATATTACTAAAACCTAGCCTCATGCTTTCTGAGTCAAAGGCTTCGATCTCGCGAGCTTGACGCTCCAGCAGGCTTCGTATCCGTTCAGTACGCTCGTTCTGCAGAGCCAGCATCTCCTCCTCAATCTAGGAAGGAAAAAAGAAGAGACAGTCTGTAGCAGCACGACTCCTTCACAGGCACGGCCTCGAGTCTCTCAAACACTTGTAACAGCGAGCTAATGAGGAACCTTCTCCCCGTGTGAGACTGGATCTAGATCAGATGTCCACTGACACACCAGCTGTTGTGAACACAAAGGGGTAAATCCCATAGACCTGCACACACCAAAGCACGGTGAGTACCAGCTGGAGGGTCTTGGTCCCTGTTCCCCAGTGAAAGCCCAGAAGCTTTAGGGATGCGAATCCAAAGTCTGCAGCGATACTAACAGTTTGACATAGATTAATCTTTTAAGATGCAGCAAGATCTACAGCTTCCATAAAAGCCTACTGGGAAAGCATGTTCAGATAGAGCCAAGCACAGTGCCTGTGCAGTCAGATACCTACACAGCTTAATGAGACCTTCGCTGTTTGTAGCTGAATGTGATGATGACAACTGCTATTTTCTCCAGGATTCAACATATGAGCCCACATTTCGTTTCCTCTCCAACGCTCACTGGCCAGATTTTCTTAGCTCATGTTTACCACCTCCTATCTACCCCTTTCCTAAATTGGTTTCTCACGTTTCGTTACCCCGATACTTTCTCTAGGGTGTGTGGTTGAAGAAAGTAGGCAGTGATGTTTGAATTGCGTGTCAGATTATTAGCTAGAAGATACACCAAGCTGGCAACTTCAATTTCTTCCCTGTAACACTGTTCCAAATTGGTTTCCGAGGGTACTTTGGTAGGGGCACAGGGATCAGCTCTCTCAGTACAGATAACATGGGGCTACAGTCTCCTGACGCCCATCAGACAGGGACGAAGGCCTTTCTTATTGAAATCCTTGTGGTCAGGTGGAAAACCAAAGAATCACTCCTTTATCTTCCTGCCAGCACTGCAAAAGCTACTTTTGGCCTCGGTGGAAAAGACCAAACGGGTAAAAAGCAGCAGCCAAGACTTTTAGCACAGCTCACTGGCATCTCCCCTGCTGTCAGCAGCAGTGTGGCCAAGCAGTATTATCCTGGTCTGTGCTAAGGTACTGGGCAGAGCCTCGCACTTGTAAAGCATTCTCTTGCCTTAGTCAGGGAATAAGCAAAGTGATTTCATCTGGAATTTAGGAAACAATCTGCTCCAGCGTGAGTCATCTCCTGAGCCATTTGGGGCTTTCAGAAACAGCCTTATCCTCTTGCCTGTTTCTGAGCGCTAGGCGAGTGTCACTGACTCCACAGAGCAGCCCTGCTTGCTTCTGCTGAAGCCACGCAGTGGTCAGCTGGCTTGGGAAAGGCAGAAGAAGAAGGAGGTGGTTTCTCTCATGTTAGCTTTTTAAAATGCTCCACTCGTTTTTTTCAGTCCTGCTATCTAAGCAGAATCCTCCTCTTTCAAAACGACAGCGTCTTCAGCGCATTCAGCTGCTCAGTTTTCAGGGCTTGTGGCAGCGTAACACACACAACTTGGTGCAACTGAACTTCCCAGAAAGGCACGCCTAGCACCGCATTAAAATGACATCACTTAGAAACGACCTCAGGATGCAGGACTCCGAAGATGAGGTGTTTGAGGCACGTGGGAAGGAAACGAGTACATCTGAAATCTTTTAAAGGCACTCTTGGGACGTGCTCGTTACTTGTGCGACACAAACAACACAGCATCAGGGTACAGCACCTCAATCGCTGGCACTCAAAGGCTGTGCGTTGATGGGGCCGGATACTCCCTGCTCAGCCTGAGTCAGACACGAACGCTCTGGTGAGTTACTGTGGTGATGGGCACCATCCAAAATAAAGAGCACAGTGCTGAGGAGGAAGCACACCCCTATGCACACCCTGGTTTCTGGAATTTGGTTTATTATTGAACACCAGGGACTGACTTTGCCACAGGCTATGTATATACGCGTGCATGTAAATGCAGACGTTCATCTTGCGCACGTACCCGCCCTTGCTGTGGCTGCCAGTTCCAGTTAGCGCAGGCACACAAATAGCAGGCGACACCGCCGAGCGGCCCACACCAGCACAACTCCGTTCTCACAAAAACAGAGCAACGTTCCTTCCCCCAGGGAATACCCTTGCAAAAGGAGGACACATCTACCTGTGCACCCACGTGTTTTCCCTTGAGCTGCCGCTAAGTGACTGTAAACCTGGCAAGGAACTGAGTCTCAGCGCTGGTCCATGACTTCGTGACTTGCAATGCGCTAGCACTGCAGGTATTGCTAAATAAAGGCTCTCATCTATGGAAAGTGAAGGACTATCCAATCTTCTGCTACTCTAATGCAGCATTGGGACACACAGGACACACACACAGAAAAATTATGCAAGGTCTTAATTTTATCTTTTTTTTTTTCTCGCTATGACATTGCTAAGCTTGCTAGCACCATTACTAATGCCAAATGCTTTGTAGGGGCCTTCTCTGCTCAGAGACTTCAAGCCTTGTCCACACTGAAAAATTCATACATTATTATTGGTTGATAAGTGTTTCCTGAAGCCACTGGCCTCACTTCAACATTTAACGTAACACTACGTGCAATGCAATATGTGCTGCTTCCACAGACAAGGAGCAGCCACCAGCAGGCGGCTCGCCCTGGCCCACTTCTTCCCAGCGCTCTCGTCAGACGGTGCCGCCAGAGGGCAATGCACACCCGGCAGAAATACAAATACACACCGGGCTGTGCTGGCAGCTGGCCTCTTCTGGGAGGGAGCAGAAAAACTCACGATGGGGTCTAAAGACAGCGATTACACATGGGGATGCCTCACGGGAACTCTGCTTTCACAAACTCAATTGCTGCCAGAGATTGAAGCCCACTCGCAGGAAGCCAAAGCACAAAAGGACCGTGCTGTCTTCTCAGAAATGCTTCCTCAGCTGAACAAGAGGTGGAGCAGTTTTATCCCACACCAAGGGCCCTCCATCAGCCCAGCATCCATCTGTTGGCCTTCGGGAGAAGTTAAGTGTGTGAAGAACCTTGAGGCCACAGAGTAATTGCCCTAATTTAATAATCCCCGAGCAGCAAAGTTGGGAACTGTTGTGTGAATGGCAACGGCTGGCAGCCACAAGGCAAACCGAAAGGGAAAAGATCTGCAGGAGGAAGGCTGACTGTGTATTTCATTTCACTGCCCGGTGGCGTTACCCTGCCCCTGCTTTGCGCAGGCCACTCACACAGATTTCGAGGACACCACGTGTCTGGCACTAGGTAGAAAAGCACACTTCAGCAAGGAGCACCTTAGCACATAGCAAATTACAAGCTGAAATTCAGGGAGCAGCAGGTCACCCATGTGGGTCTGGCTACTTCAGTTTGCTTAGGAAAATGCTGCGGACAGTAGGATTTCCATAACAAGCATAATTTCATAGGGAAACTGCAGCTTGGTGTCCACAGACTAATGGAGCAGATCTGCAGATAAATAATATTACCATAAAACACAGAGTATCAAATGCATTTTACCTTTCTTTTTCCCCTCCACAAAGGTACCTACTACTGATACTATGCAAATTCCAAAAGCACCACCACTCCTAGTTTTCGGTTTGTTATTGTCTGTCCTCTGAAGGCTGGGGAGCTGATCTGCAGCTCACAGACAGAATGAATGCTTTCCCTTCTGCCCAGAGAGGCACAGCTCCCTCTGGCACGCTTCAAGCGGCTCTATCCCAGCCAGAAGCTGCTCACACAGGATGGCTGAGCTGGCAGAAAGTTTAGCCTATGTGTCACTGAGCTATCATCCCAGAGAGGCAAATACCCAAATGATCTGTGTTACTATATATGGCAAGGTAAAAGCAATTTCTCTGTCTATTGATAAGTACAGTGCAATTTACGATCTGAAACATGGAGTGCCCATTTTACCTTCTGCTCAAGGAGGGCCCGACGGAGGGATACCCTCTGTTCGAGATCACGCAGCTCCCGATCATGCTGGGCTTCTGCCTGCATCTTGATTTTACTCTGATATGCATTCAGCAGCTCCAATTCTTGCTGCAGCTGCATCTTCAAAACCTGGCACTCCGCTTCCTGTGCTTCATCCAAACGCAGCTGTGAAAGACAGACAATGGGCGTTTCACTATGGGATAACCACTCACGACACTCCGGGGGAGGACTGTGGGGAGGGAGAGAGAATGGGATGGGACTTTGTTTTCCTAGCGATACAATCGGTCTCTATTGTACTTCGTTTCACTGAACAGAGGCCCTATAGTGACAAAGACTGGTGACAGCGAGCCCACAGCGCTGATGCAAATGATGCTGATGAGCAGTGGCGCCTCGGGAACCACGATCCATAGTGCAGAGCCCAGACTGCTGGAGGTGCTAACATCCACAGCTCGCCTTTTGCTAGAGGCAAAGAGAAGATCTCTTGCTCTGTTCAACTGGATTCACCAATTACCTGCACGCAGGAGACTTCAGTCCATATCCCTGCCAATGCGGGACTTCAGGCAAAATAATATGATGACAAAAACCCCAAAACAACATGATACTGAAACTTTTAACCTTCCCATACATAATTTAAGCCAGCTACCCTGCCTCACAGTGTCAAATTTGCACAGAGTGATGTGAGCAGGACGCAATATGCAAGATGTGCAAAGAAAACTGCACATTCAGTTGTAGCACGGACTCAAAGCATTGCTCATATGGTCATGTCCCAGAGAAGGAATCTCTTAAAGAAGGAGTCACAGAACTTTCACAACACTTTTAACATTATTTCAGATTTAGTCAAAAACTCTGGACTCCTCCATGACTCAATGGGCATCTTCCACCAGCGCGACATGCTTTGGTTGGTATAACTGATAAATCAAAGCCTAAATGTGCAAGCAGCACGTTATTTGACGATGCTCTGACAGGGACATTTACGTTGTCAGACTTCATGCAAACGCAGTCCTCTGGCCACACAGATGCATCGCTTTGCATCGCTGCAGCAGCAGCTTCAACATCAACCTGTCTGAAGGGAGCAACACCTCTTTCCTCTGCATTTGAATGCTGCTTTTTAAATACAGAGGAACGACTGTGCTGCGTATGGCACACGTGGCAAGGAAGCAGCCAGCCTCCTGTCAGGATACAGACTGGTTAAAATGCAAACATCCCTATTTGGCTGAGGAACCCTGGGTCCCTCAGAGGCGACTCACAGCTTGCGTAGAGAGCATTTCATTAATGCTGTGATCATACTGCTCAGCCAGGATAGCCAGCTTCCGGGTCTGCTCCTCCTTGAGCCGTTTGAGGACAGCTTTATGTTCACTCTTTGGCGTGGTCTCCAGCAGATGGTTTCTCAGTGCTTTGTACTGCCTGGTTTGGATCTTGCATGTATCCTGAAACTGCTTCTTTATCTGTAGTTCTTTTGACTGGAAAGATGGAGGGGACACAAACAAAGAAAAAAAACAGCGTGTTTCAAATGGGAAAAATATCCATTCAAATGGATATTTAGGATTACGTTAAGGATATGAGTTCAAAAATCCACAAATGTATATTAACATCTACAGCGCGAGGAGGGAAGCAAAACACACAAGAGGCAATGACTATTGCTGCAGCTGCTTTGACACTGCTACTGTGCGAAACAATTACAATACAGACACTTTTATAACAAAGCTCCAGCCTAAATACAGCTGTCTCTGGCACAAAGAGCCTCACATTCGGCACTGGACTGGATCCAGTCCTGGGTGCTGCTTTTCAAGAAAAGTTCTTGAGGGACAGGACTAATATTTATTAGCACCAAAAGCCATACTTATACATGACTGTGCTTGTATGGCACATATGTATGAACAGCACTTAATGTCATGAAAAGAAGCAGATCTGTGCATGGGGAGGGATAGGGAAAAAGAGTAACACTTTTTCCACTGAGAGTTCGATGAAGAGAAGATGTGTTTAACCCTTGACATTAAGAGCACGGTTTTCATAAAGATACTCAAAAGTGGCTGGAAAAGATCAGACGTTTGAAGACACACACCACAAGCAACATTAGCATTGTGCTTAGTCTAGCAAACAAGACAATTCCCCAGTCCCAGTGGAGGCGTGCTGGAGACTGAGTTTTCCCTTTGCGCTCTGCTAGCATCTCTGTGCTGTTTAGAGACTTAACTTTGCGGTTTCACACAGGGCTGGGAGACATCAATCCTGGAAAACGTATCTGGATCTGATTTGGCTGTATGACCTTCAGGAAATCATCTTTTTTTTTTCCACCTGCCTTACCTGCCTCCAGAGCAGCTTGTGAGGGTTAACATCTACAAAGCGTTTTAAGACCCTGGAAAAGAAGGTGTTCTGGAGTTCCCTGTGTCTTTCTACAGGAGGACTTGCAGGGATGTTTCTAACCAAGCAAAACCCAGAAGTGAGTGATGGTGGCTAACTGTCAGATAAGAAAAACGGACTGGCACAGTAAGAAAAACCAACCAAACCAACCTCCTGAATCTCCCCATCAGGGCAGACAGTACAAACTCTGGCCATTCCCACTGTCACCCATGCTCAAATCCTGAAGCAGCAGGGGGAGGAACAGAGCACAGGGATGGATTCCTGTCCCTTGGGGAAGTTCAGGAAGCACTGGGACCTGAACCAGCAGGCAGATACATCTGCATGTCTGCATCAGCTCCCCCACTGACTGCTCCTGGCACTGCCTGAAGGCTCAGCGGGGCAGGTGATAAGCACAGCACTTGTAGCTACCTAGAAAGATGCAGTGTGATCAGACAAGGTATCCAGCCCAATTCAGACATCAGCACCCATTGCTGCATAAACCAACAGTTCCACTTTACTAATCTGAGGCAAAAAAGACCAGGACAAAGATGGGTTTCATTCAAACCAAAACATGTCTCATGGAGAGGAATACATCGCTTTTACCCTTTCTAAATTCACAGGAAATTATTTCCCTCCAGGAAACCTTTAAGGCCGTTTCTCGTGCCCCTAAGGGAAGGGTCAGCTGGTTACACATTCCCTTCAGGGACCTGGTCACAGCAAAACACCAGCAATCTATTTTGTCCTCACTTTCTGTGAGGTTTCGCTTGGACACCAGACTCTGTTTACAGGCTTCCAATCCAAAGGCTTTAACAACAGGAAACAGCAGGGAGGGGTAAGATTTCCAGTCAGACTTCTGACAAGACCATTTTGACCCAGTATTGTGAAATATCAGCAAGGGGGTATTTGCATCACAATTAACACACTCGAAATAATAACAGAGCAGTTTTCAGTGGAGGGTGAATTCCAGTTATCCGTCCAGAACAGCTGCAACAGACACTGACCGTTAAAAACCTGCTTTCAGGACAAAGGACCTCACCAAATAACAAAGGGAAAGCCTGAAACATGTGCCCTCGAGGGAAAACGTTGCTGGTGAGAGAAACTGAACAAATAGGCAAATTATCTGTTCAATTAAGAACGCTCGTCTGCATTAGTCAGAAGCAAGAGAAGGAGTTAATTCTGGGGAACAGCCTCGATAAACAGGGGATTGTACTACACACCGAAGGGCTGTCCAGCAGGCTGCATTATTAGCACTGTGTGTACGCAAAGGTGCTGGATTGACAGCTCAGGCCTGAAATCCTTCACTAATAACACAACAGTCACACAAAACAAAGCGCAAGCTTTCCACGCAGCCTGCAAAACGCCCCGGCCCTGTCCTCGCTGGAAAAGGGAAGGGGTTGAAGAGGTGAGGGGGCAGCCAAGCCTCTGCAGCCCAGGGACATTGCTGGTGCTGCCGTCCTAATGGCCAGCGAGGGATCGAGAAGGGACTCGCTGCTCGCTCGCGTTCGCACCGCATCACCTTGGGGAGGCAGAACTCGCTCACGCTAATCTCGGAAGGATCAACCTAATACAGCTGCTTCAGTTTTATTCAGCTCAGAGTACAGCGCAGCTTTCCCCGTGAAGTCATCAGCTATTTATACACTATATCCTTGGAGATTCTCAACAGCGATCAGATGGTCCCTTGTTCTCACAAGCTAGGTTTTCACTAGTTAATGTTATTCTAATATTGACAGATCAGGTAATTATTTTTTTTTTTGACTTGCTGAAGTTGTTTCCAAGTTGGTGATTTTGTCTGTAAGAAGATAACTTGCAGGTGGTGAAAACCACGTCAGATGGAAAATATCACAAAGTGGAAAGACCTAGAACAACAAAGAAACCCCATGCTCAGTATACCATACACTCGTTTTGTTACTAGCGTGGCTGAGCACTGGGTGGAGAGGAGAAGTCTGCCTCCTCAAAGGAAACGTAGCAGGCAGCTCTGTGAGAGAAAGGCCTCACACTCCCTTCTCACACACTTTGGAATAAACCACTGGACTTTGGATGAAGTGGAGGCTTACAGTGAAAACACTAAGAGCTGCAATTACAGAGGCCCTATAGTTCTGGTCAGCCACCGCAGTTACAAGGGCAGAGCAAGAAACCCAGGAGAGCACAACACAGCAAAGGTCAGGGCTGGGAGCTTCCTGAGGACACTGCCAGAATCCCTCTCTCCTACCCCCACACTTGTTACCCTACCAGCATTAATACAAACAACAAGGTGAGCTAGCCAAGACCAATAGCACAGTTCATTTTGATGCACGCAGGAACACAAAGGGGTTTTTTTTACTTTTTTTTTTTTTTTAATGACACTGCTTCATTACAGAAAAATAGATTTTCTTCATGTATATGATGGGGAGAGAGGGGAAAAAAGGGCACTGCAAAGATTAAATGCATTTTAAACTACCATTGCAGAGAACAATAGCTTTTCAAACAAAATGAGGGAATAGCGTGGCTATAGCCTGCAATACACTGCGACCCTGATCACCACTGCTAGGGCTCATACACACGGTGCTGGTAAGGCTGCAGTTGCAGCCTGGCAGTCACACAACTTGACAAATAATGACACTTTTTAAAAAAGGTACTCGTACAAAATGAGGCACCTCTGCAAAATAGCACAATTCGCAATACCCTGGACCTGCACACCCTGCAAACTGAGCTGCAACGCCCCCTTTTCCACCGCCACCAGGCAGCTCGCGCCCAGCGACCCTACATCCCTCGGTACCTTCAGGCTCTTGGGCTGCTGCCGGACCTCCATGACGTGCTTACGCCTCAGCTCCCGCTCGCGGCGCTTGTTGTACTCCAGCTGGTTGGTGAGCTCGGTCTGGTGCTGGAGCCGGATCAGCTCACAGCGCATCTTCTGGATGGTGCTGAGGTGGCGGAACTCCAGCTCCTGCATGGATTCATGCTGACGCAGCAGCATGGCGTGCTCCAGGTCCTTCTGGGTCTGCCTCTTGTTTAACTCCTAACAGAGGACAGAGGGAATTATTAGATCCTTTGTACTTACTTGGATTTCCGCTCACAACGTGACATTTCACTTTGTTCACAAGGGCATTTCTCTCCTCCCAAGGCATCTGAGGACAGAGCACAGAGTTTCTACGTCTTATCAGAAGCAGACAGCACCGCCACCGGTGATTTTTCCTTCCTCATTTCACTTTCCTTCTTCCTGTTCCAGAGGCTTCTGGAAGGGACTGTAACTGTTGTGTCTGCTGACTTTTTAGATCTAACAATTCAATGGGGCAATAATCTGAACACTGGATTCTGTGTGATCCCCTCAATGCCACAAGGGATTACCAGAGTGCATTGCAAAATATCGAACCATTATTTCACCAAAAAAACCTTCAGATGTGGTAATGAACACTTCACAGAGACTGGAGTTGGCTGGCAGTGACTCCTGTGGGACACTGCACACAGACAGTTTCAGGCCTATCCTCCTACCTCCCGAACCAGGTCCTGCTCCAGGTTATGGCGGCCAAGGAGCATCCGTCTCTTGAAGCGGCGACACTCCAGCTCCAAGTACTGCCTCTGACGCCTCAGTAAGTTGGCTTCTTCCTCTGCCTGGAAATGCTGGATGTTCTCCTTCTGCTTGGAGAGCCACTCCTGCTTCTCCTTCTTTGGAGTGCTCTGGTTTTCATTCAGCTCCTGGTAAAAGCGAGGTAACGAATTGTGGAATAGTCACATAAAGCTCCTCGGCCCTGAACAGCTGGACAGACCTTCCCAATAAACTACATTTCTAAGGGAATACCAGGAGACAATTCACAATGGAGCAAATTTAACTACAGCTTTCTTTTTTGTTCTTGGGGTTTTTTTTTGCATTGGCCATTTTAACCCATTCAAATTCTGGTTCATGTCCACGTAACAATGATGGTTTGCCACTGAAAACAAAGACACTTGGAGGTCCTGCCATACTGCCTGACGAATGTTTTTACAGGATCCCAAAGGGCTGAGAGGAGAAGGAAAGCATCATCCTATGTCATTTACAAACTCTGTTCATACAGAACTCCAGCCACATCAAGCACATCAGAAAATCTGTGTCGTGCCTGATCAGAACACACAGATGTTTGATAAGTAACTCATCAAGGCAGCACCACTCACTGAGATGCCATAACTTACAAAAACAATACATAACAAAGTTCACAGGTGAAACTTAAGGCCTCAATTTCCACTTTTGTATTAAATTCAATGCATATCTTGAGGCATCTTTGCCAAAAGACTCTGCTTGCTTGAACTGCATACTAGAGACACCCATGCAGTAACTCATCCTGTCGTGACACACTTCAATTTCAGTATGAGACAAAACTCCTCTGTATTTCATCAGCCTTTCTTGGTGCTCTGTGATCTCCTGCTGACTTAGAAAAAGATCCTATGTTATAATAAAGACCCCACGCCACTATAGTTTTTGTTAGATCTTTCTTGGCTCTGCTGCTCTTTAGCCCTTTTTTTTCTCTTGGGAAATGTCTACGTTTGGGAATATTCCCCTTTGGAGCAAGTTCCAAAGTTGTGTCACACAAGTTGATGGTTGAGCACTAAATGGTTCTTTCAAAAAAAATTAAATAATTATTTATAGTGCTTATGGTTTCAGCCACTCCACAAAACAAATCAGGAAGTTTGATTTTGCATCTTCTCTGCATTGCACAAAGGTCGTGATTTTCGCTACAATACAGTGGTTATTAAACTATCACAAAGCTTTGCCCTTAAAAGCAAGCAGTTTTTCACAGGTATTTTCCTTTCAAATTAAAAAAAAATCTGCAGGTCACCTTAACTGCTCTGCTTTCTTGCTGCTGCTACAGAAATATTATTTAAGTGATAAGAAACTTCACTACTGCTATAGCGCACAGTCGATATCTGCAGCAACAAGGTACGAGAAAAAGGCTCATGATCTTTCTTAAACTATCTTTTTATTTATTCTTTAGGATTGCCCGATTTGCACGTTTCTGGCTAAAAAGTAACATTAAACAATGGAGAAGTTTGTACTTTTACAAGATAAACATGTAGGTGCCAATATATAAATAAACTCCCTTGCTCTAAGGTCAAAGATATGAAACAAATGCAGCCCAGACAAGACTCTGCTCATGAAATGCAGAACTTGCTGGAACCCAGCAAAGATCTGTTGTGCAGAGGCACTTTTATTTCTGAATGTTCACTGCTCCTGCACTGTACCACACACTGTACTATATTCTCAGTTCTCATTACAAGAGAATTACAAGTTACAAGTTACCTCTTTCAGCTGCTCTTTACGCAGTTTATATTCTCTCTTCTGGGACTCCAGGAAACTGTTCAGCTCTTTCTTCTGTTGGGCCTGAATATGCTGTTGAAACTTCTTTTCTTCATTGGCCATCACTTTAGCCTACAGCAAAGCCAGCAGTACATCAGTTTGAGTCCCGAAGGGTTACAAGCTCCTGTTCAGCCCCAGCACCCAGGACTTGGGGTGCAGTCACCACAATACTCACCGTGACTTCGAGTAAGTGCAAGTCTCAGGAGCTGGCCCCTGCTCTCTTCTCATCCCACCCCATCAACACACCCAGCAGGAGCCCTTTTTCCACGCCTCATTTCCTCAGCCCTATCATTCAGCTACTCTTGCCTAACAAAGTCAACACCTTCTGATAAACTACATCCTCAGCCCTCCACCAAGAGATCCAAGATGAACAAAGGATCAATAATAATCGCCGTAGGCAGCACCACTTCATTATCAATTATTTAAATGTATAAAAACCTCCTATCCATAAGGAACTAGAAGGTGAACATTTAAGAGTAGTTGCCACATTTCTCTGCAGGCTGATCTGCCTCTATAACACTCAATGGCAGTCAGTTACTGACAGCACATCCATGGCAAAAGAGAGGGAAACTTTACAGCATTGTTTCTGAGGCCAGCATAGTAGCATTTAGTATAATGCAGTGAGATGACGGACGTACACTAAGTGGTTTATGTAACTAGAGGAGAGGTAAGGAGGTGATGTATCAGCCTTTTTCTAATTAGCCATTCGCTTGGCTCCTGAAAACAGACATTGAAGAGACTACAGTGTCATCTCCTCATGGGTGGGGGCAAGTGGACAGTTCAACGTAACCAACAAACACAGACTGGTCCGCTAAACCGTAATCTCCTACCTCTTTTTCCATGGCCGCTTGGTGCTTTTTAATTAGCTTTTCCATTTCTGCAGCAAAATTATTACGCTGTGTTTCAAGATCTTTGTCCAACCTGAGGCGATGCTCATCCATCTCTGCCTTCAGTTTATTCTCTAGCGCCATCAGTTGCTTCTGGTGTTGCCGTCTCATACGTTTATAGCCAGACATCTGCTCTCGGAGTTCAGAGTCTTGTTCATGTTCCTGCATTTGCCTTGTCACCTAGGAAGGTAACGGCATCGGCACACCGTAAATTAATGCTGCTTAATCTGCTTTTCAGCAGCCTTCAAACCACAAAAGAGAACTATTCAGTAAAGAAATATGATTTTGTTGTAAAGAAAAGCACACAACCTAATGGCAGCAGAGCAGATTAAAAACTCGATTCTGCTGTAGAAGATAAGCTCACACGGGCTCCAGCAGAAATACTGTACAATTGTTATAAAGCTGGTACTAAATAATGTCTTTTTAGCCCACCGCAGTATGGGTGAGCATATATACACACACAAACATACATAAAATGCATATGAAAATAAAAGCCAGCTTATTACTACAAACAGCTTCCTGCATTCTGCTAGGCATATTGGTTTTGAAAATACCTAATATACCCAAATTACACTTGCCCAGGTGTCGCATTTAAGCTTTTATTAACTCCCATTAAACTATTTCAGTGATAATATCTCAGACAACGAGGACAGCTCATATTCTGATGAAATCCTAACAGCTCTAAGTAGTTTAATAGCGCTGTGTTCAAAGGCATCCCTTCCTATACGACTTCAGCAAATCGAAAACCTTCACGTACCAGCGATGCTGTGCGTATAGTAGCAAAGTGCTCTCGGTTGCGATAATGAGACTTGTGGCGAGATACTTGGGGAGGAGACTGGGGTTCTGATGCCCTTGTTCGAGGATCTGATTCCTCTCTGTAGTTTTCTTCCTCCTAATCAGCAAATATTAACAAGAGAATAAAGAGAATCGGTGTTACTAAAGATTTTTATTTTGGTCTGGTTCAAAAGACATTTAAAATGAAGAAAAACCATTCTGCATTCATCAGCCCTGAAAGATCCCCCTGCCAATGAGCTGGATGAGGGAATATACTGCAACGAGAGCTCTAGGATCTTTGCTTTTAGAAATTTTATTGCGCATTTTTATTACTAAGAGGAAAATGACTAATTAAAGCTGAAAATGAGAAAAGTAAATGGAAAACTGAGTTGAACAGTTTACTTCAACAAAACATAAAAGCTATCAAGTAGATTATATCAAGTCAGAAAGACAAAAACAACATCTTTGTAACCTTGAAAGACAGAGGAAGCTCTTCATTACACCCACTACAGAAACACCTCAAAGCAAATTTCTGGGTTTGTCATGGTGTGTTCCACATTCTTATTTAGCGTTTGTCATTCATCACGGAGCGATTAGTCCTTAGATATGATATACTAATCAACTCCCCGAGGAACTACCTGCGTCTTTGGTGCATATCTGGGCAAAGAACAAAACATTTTAACCACACCTATCATTAGCTGGGGAAACGCTACTGCTTTGAGAGGAGGTGATAACCCCTCTATGGCAGGAGCAGCACGGTTCAGAGGGATGCTGTGCAGTTTATCCTCCACAGCGCAGGGGTAAAGCAGGGGAAGTGGTTTCACAGCTTGTCATGGCTCCATCTCTTTTTCTGTCCATATCTGCTCGTTAACCAAATACTCGAATCAAGCGCTGGGAAGCTGGATGCTTCAGGAACAGATCTCAATCACTACTGAGGGTCTGGTATTTAAGAATTCACTAACTAGGAGGTAAAAAGGGGGAAACCCTCATTTCCTTTCGTCCCAGGAAGCAGCACTCTGCAAGCTAAGGGCATCCACTAAATAATCACAGAATCACAGAATCTCAGGAGTTGGAAGGGACCTCCAAAGCTCATCCAGTCCAACCCCCCTGCCAGAGCAGGATCACCTAGACTTGGTCACACAGGAAGGCGTCCAGGTTGGCCTTGAATGTCTCCAGAGAAGGAGACTCCACAACCTCCCTGGGCAGCCTGGGCCAGTGCTCTGTAACCCTCACAGTGAAAAAATTTTTCCTCATGTTCGCATGGAACCTCCTATGCTCCAGCTTGCACCCATTGCCCCTTGTCCTGGCATTGGACATCCCAGAGAAGAGCCTGGCTCCTTCCTCCTGACACTCGCCCTTTACAAATTTATAAACATTAATGAGGTCACCCCTCAGTCTCCTCTTCTCCAAGCTAAAGAGCCCCAGCTCCCTCAGCCGCTCCTCATAAGGGAGATGCTCCACTCCCTCCATCATCTTTGTGGCTCTGCGCTGGACTCTTTCAAGCAACTCCCTGTCCTTCTTGAACTGAGGGGCCAGAATTGAACACAATATTCCAAATGCGGTCTCACCAGGGCAGAGTAGAGGGGAAGGAGAACCTCTCTCGACAAATAAACCTATTCACAACCTGCCACTCCAGCTCTTCATGGTGAAGCAAGTCCGTTTTGAAACAATGTCATTAGTAAAGTCACTTTTAGTGAATCAACAGAAACAAACTATTTTTACAGCAACCTTTCAAGGTTTCCGGTGCACATTAATAAGTGGGGACACAATATCAGAACCTGCAGATAATCATTTAGGATAGGAAGCACTCAACTTTTTGTCATCATCCCAACCAAATCCTCTCCCCTTTTACACGTTCAAAGTTGTCCAGTAAAAATCCAACGCTTACCGGCTTCAAATGAATGACAGAGCTATTTGACATCACGGTGTGGTCCCCCTCCATCATATCCAGCTCACTCTTATCATCCGAGGCATCTGGAAGACTGTTAACACTACTGCTTTGGCTACTGGCACTGATAGACATACTAGGAATGGACTGATTACTTCCGACACTATTCACTGTTCCTGTCCTGCCGACACCGTGGTCTTGCTCCTAGGAGAAAGGAATTATTAAGAAAATATAAATCCATCACAATTGTGTCTATGGACATCACCAAGTGAAATGTTCACTCCGCTCCTTTCCAAAGGCATCTACCTCCCATGTCATGGCAGTTCCCACCTCCCAGGCATTGCCATGAAACATTTCTCTTGCGTGATGCTGGGGAGAGGATGAATCAACCTTGTCAAGAAGAACTGGCTGATGTCAGATTCTGTTCACCAGTGAGCCTGTTAACAAGCTGAACTCTATCACATATCAGCAACAGCGTGTCACCAGAAACTGTTCTGACACCAGCATCATCTCAGTGCTCAGCTGGGACACTGCACCTTGCACCGTTCCTTTCTGTACGTGAGACAACTGCAATTCAGAGAATCTCCATTTCTGCGTGGTGACTGCAGCATGCAACCCACAAAAGACAATTCATTTCCTAGACGACTTTTTCTTTTTTTTTTTAAGAGCAAGAACAAATCTCTGTGTCTTAGACACAGAACAACGTTGTCCAGACAAAACTAGAAGCCTGTCCAGAGCCTTGTACATATGGACAACATAGAGGTTAACTGCAGCTGCTGAGAGAGTCCTCGTGAGGCCTTACGGCAAAGCAAGCTGGGATTTACAGGACTGGAAGGTAACTATTCAAGCATGAACACATGGCACAGCTTCTTGCCAGCACTACTCTGCTTGTCCTTGTTTGTGCCTTGAGGTAGCTTTATTCTGAGCACAGAGAGGAAGACAGTTTACAGCCAGGTGTGTAAAGAGCTTCCATTCATTTTAGCAATACCCAAGTTAGGGTTATTTAAATGACAGCATTATTCTCTGGTTCAGTGACGAAACCCAAAGTTTCTCTCACCTCCTCCTCCTCCTGTGTTTCCACTGCAGGGCCATTGTGCGCCTCCTGGAAGAGGAGCTTCTTCATTTTCCTATACTGCAGGTTGTCCAGTTCTCTCACCGCATCCTTTGTTCTCTGAATCAAGTCTATTAACACTGTTTCGGGCCGCTCCCGAAGAACAAACATGTGCTGTAAAACACAAATAGGTGAGCGACCTCTTATGCCTGCAGCACACATGCTTTGAGGATACAAATTATGAGCTCAAGTTGGGTTTGTGAGCCCTCTTCCCTGCACAGGAGGGAAATACCCTCCCAGCTTACACTGGCACAGTTTTGAGAGTTCATGATCCAGACAGATCTCAGAACAACTGCTTTCTGACAGGAGACATCCACCAAAAAATAGAGATGTAAAAATACAGAAATGGTATTTCATGTATCACGAAAACTGGCTTGAGGGGTGGTCACAGGTAGCCACGTTACGTTCCTTTCTGGTGATATCACAGAATCCCAGAACGTTAGGGATTGGAAGGGACCTCCAAAGCTCATCCAGTCCAATCCCCCTGCCGGAGCAGGAACACCCAGATGAGGTTACACAGGAAGGCGTCCAGGCGGGTTTTGAATGTCTGCAGAGAAGGAGACTCCACAACCTCTCTGGGCAGCCTGGGCCAGGGCTCTGTCACCCTCACTGAGAAGAAGTTTCTTCTCCAATTTCAGTGGAACCTCCTGTGTTCCAGCTTGTGTCCGTTACCCCTTGTCCTATCATTGTTTGTCACCGAGAAGAGCCTGGCTCCATCCTCGTGACACTCACCCTTTATATATTTATAACCATGAATGAGGTCTCCCCTCAGTCTCCTCTTCTGCAAACTAAAGAGCCCCAGCTCCCTCAGCCGCTCCTCATAAGGGAGCTGCTCCACTCCCTTGACCATCTTTGTAGCCCTTCACACCGCATTTCACTGCAAAGGTGGCCACGTTTTGCCAATAGGCAAAGCAGGTCCTGCCTACGTGTGTCAGAAGCAGCTTTTGCAGTCTCCAGATGAAATGTGCTGTGCAAGCATGAGTCATTATTAACACCACCGCTACTTTCATTTTGTTCCTTCAGAGAACTGCATTGCCATTTCTAACATGTCACATTCCCTACCTGTCCCTGCAAAGCGGCATGCAGCTGTTTCAGGCTATAGATCTGGAAGGAATACATTCACAAATGTTTAATTTCCATCAATGTTCTCTTTAATTGCAGTGCATTGCTCAAAATAAAACCAATCTGCAGAATTCTGAAATGGCAGGACTGCACACCCACACCGAAACCTTTGCTGGATAATTGCATTTACTTTCTGAATGCACAGCTTTTAAAGAGAGGCAAAAGTCCTCGGAACCATTCAAGTGAAAACATGCAGAAAGGTGATGCTAAAACCTTCATAAATAGCATCCGTTCCCCTGCAATGCAAAATTTTGGAAAACTGCTGTTTAGCAGAAATGTGGCCAGGATTAAAAAACAAAACAAAACAAAACCAAACATCAAAATAACATCACGAGCATGGTAAGGAGAACGACAAGTTAGCAAAATTCTGAATGCCACCTGATGCCACAAAGGAAATCCATCCAAGTCACACTTAAAATAAAGCAGCTCTAGCACCCAACTTCTACGTGAGTTGCGTTCACTTAGGAACACGTCAGCTTTTTGCAACAACCTACCAAAGTGGCTTTGTTTCCAGAGCAGAGCAAGGAAAACCAACGATCTGCAGCACACAGGAGCACAGATTTTAAAGACAGCTATGAAATAAAGCAGGAGGAAACCTGCGGACAGCTGAGGCTTACACACACAAGTATGGGGAAGAAAAACTGCTTTCCTCTGCCCCATGGGATACTATTAGAACAGCGGATTTCAGTTTCACATGTAAAGCATACAGGTGATGGAAGAGGATAAAAAACCTTTAGGGGTGTATATAGCACGAAGAGGGGAGTAACGAAAGGTATTTGTTAACTAATGCATGGCAATTCTGTCAGGAGCAATTATAATCACTGCAAAGATGGACTGAGCTGGAGAAACCCAAACTCTGAGGGTCATCCAGTGTCACTCGATGGGGTGTCCTTGTATGCTGAGACCAAGGCTGGCTTGGAGATACAGCTGTGAGACTGCCTGAAACGCTGCCAAGGAGCAGCAAAGCTTGGACCATCCACTCTGTACTCTATATAGCAACCTCAGCTCAAAGGTGCTAAGGGTAACTGGCAATGATAGCACCGTTAACCATCACCTGGTACAGTGGGTGAGACAGGAGACCATCACAGGGCATGGCCCCTTTTAACACCATGTGGGAAACACAAAAGGACAAGACAAGCTCGCCCACCTTCAGCAGCTCCTCTGATGTAGGCCTGTCTTGAGGAATTTTCTGGAGGCAGGAATCTACGAAGTTTCGAAAATAATCAGACCTGTGGTGAGGAGAGGAGAAAAAAAAAACACCCCATCTGAGTTAATGACCCAGTTTAATTCATTAAGGAATGAAGACATTCACACCTGGGTGCTGCTAGCAGAAAGAGCAGGGAGAAACTACACAGACCCAGTACCTCACACTCCAGCCCTGACACCCCCGGGCAAGCCAAAGCTCGCTGCTATTTGTGGGTGGATCTCCTTAACCTCAGCTTCCAGACAAAGTGTTTCAGCTGCAGAATGCACAAATATGGGTCAGGAAAGTTTAGTAACATCTCTCTTTGCCCTTTCTTTCTTTGAACACAATTTTCAGAAGGGCAGGATTACACCCAGAAAGCAGCAGCACATCACTTAGTCCGGTTTTATTTCTTTCCTCCCCCACTGCTCCCTCCCTCCCTCCCATCACGTAACAGGGTTTTTTCCTACTGCAATTTTCCCATAAGCTAAATTATTACGTGGTTGGTCAGAAAAATGCATAAAACGAGTTGAATATTTTGTCAAGCACCAAGGTGTGAGATAACGAGAAAATCTCAGAAGTAGAAAAAAAACCATAAAAATAGGGCGCAATCTATTTTGTTAGAGGCCTAGTGCTATGGCTTCCTAGAATTAGGAAGTTTTTAACTTTTGAAATTAGTTTACTGTGTTTGCCGTTTCAAAAGACAGTTGTTGAGGCTGGGAGGCACAAAATGTTACTACTGTGCTTTATTCTTCTGAAGTTTATGCAGCAGACACTTGCCACACACAAGCAGCATCTTCATCTTTGCAAAGCAGGACTTCAACAAAACAAGATTTAGGAATGGACAGTGTGGTTTGTGATTAAAACAAACACTAAAACCCACATTTTTGGCTAGCCTGGGAGCTTCAGAAGTTTACTGACCCTTGAACCGAGTTTTTTACAGGATCTTCCAGCAACGTCTCCTGTTCCTACTACAATCACAGAATCACAGAGTCACAGAACGTCAGGGATTGGAAGGGACCTCCAAAGCTCATCCAGTCCAATCCCCCTGCCGGAGCAGGAACACCCAGATGAGGTTGCACAGGAAGGCGTCCAGGCGGGTTTTGAATGTCTGCAGAGAAGGAGACTCCACAGCCTCTCTGGGCAGCCTGGGCCAGGGCTCTGTCACCCTCACTGAGAAGAAGTTTCTTCTCCAATTTAAGTGGAACCTCCTGTGTTCCAATCTAGAGCCTAAAATGCATATGCAGTAATTGGTCAATTTTGTACATAAGATGTATTAAGAACCTGCCAGCTCACATCCTCCCAATAGGAACCCAGGCGCTTCAAGAGCTCAGCATGACAGAGCGCTCCATTTACAGCCATCCCCTACATCGCTCCTCCCGCAGCAATACTCACCATTCATTAGACTGTAGTGTAGGGGATTCATTCTGCGCTATGTGATATAAGGCACTCATTGCGTTCATATTAAACAAAGGAGGCTTCCTTTCCGCTACACACAAAAGAAAATAATTTTTATATAGAGAGAGACAGTCTCATGGGTTTGCTTTTTTTTTTTCTTTTAGTTTACATCCCTTTAAACAGAAAACCACATCAGCAGAGTCACCACTGCCCGAGCATGGAACCCCAAACCAACCCTACCCTGCAATCAGTCAGAGATGTTGGCCTACGTCCTGTACCATTGCAGAAGATGAAAGCGCTTTGAAGATCAAATGCGTTGTCCTCTCGAGCTTTTAAATTACGTGGTTTATCATAGCCAAGTTCTCTGACTCATTTCAATGTACTAAAATAGGAGTAAGTTAACAGTAAGCTCTACGATCTGTTTAGCCACTAAGCATTCTTGGTTTCATACCACTCCTGCCTTTTATTTTTTACTAAAAAGCTCACAAATATTTAATTCTAGCAGGACAGCAGTGATGAAGAAAAAGCCGGTTACAAGAACCATCAAATCCCACTGAACTGACTAAGCACACGGGCAGGAAGTCAGTAACAGGCCAAGTCTTTAGACTATTTTGAGAGTTGCATTCTCTTTGGCTCTCCTCTCTCTTTCAAGCCCGTGTTACTCTTATAGACTGACACAGCATGAAAGCTTAATGAGGAAGGAGATGATCTCACTGTAACAACAAAACTGAAGCTTCATCAGAATGTTTATGGGGTAGACCTATAAAGCTCAGCCTTGCCATAAACATTCCAGAGGAGCTGCTCAGGCCACCAGGACGTTCCTACACAAGGGAAAATGCAACAGAAAACTTTCCTTCCTGAAAACAGAAAACAAACAAAGAAAAAATAATGCCGATTTTCTCATTCTACTTTTTGAGTCAAACAGTGGCAGTAAGCTACGTATCAGAGATCACAGTTCAGTCCTTGCTATCAGAGGATGGACTAAGCCCTACAAATTCCTCAGAAAGGGTAAACTGAATTAAGCCTTTCCTCAAATGTAGCACTTTACCTTCTGTAATCTGTCAGGTAGATAACCAGTTGTTGCAATCGAGGATCAGAGTGATGATCCATTAAACTATTTTAACTGATCCCCTTAAACTATCTAACTGGCTGTTCTCCCTAGCTTTTTTCCTCTCTTAACTCCCCTGAATAAAACACTAATCTTCAGGAAACTCTGACACGGAGCCCCAGTCATTTCTAAGCCTAAGTGATAATTTGAGAAGACTACCAGACATCTCCTTTGCTGCTGCCTTGCCATGCTTATTCAAACCAACACAGATGAGATAATCACACCGACCCAGCCTACAGCGCTCCACTGTCCTGACCTGGTCTCACCTCTCACCACGCTGGAAGCCGTAGACGAAGCCTAACGCTTCGCGTTGCAAAAAGGCAGCGTGCAGGAAGGCACCCGGGGGTGTGGTGGCCATGAGCTCACCGCATTCCTGGAGCCAGCCAAGGCTCCGGACTCTGTCATGACAGTCACACTCCTCCAACTCTCTGCTTTATATTGGCAACCAACAAAAATCTCTCTCTCTCTCTGCTCTGAAGGAAGAATCTATTTCACGGCCTGGAAGAAAATGAAGTTGACAGCTTGGAATGCCAGGCAGCATTTGCAGCTAAACGGTGCGGTTCACATGGAGCAGCGTGGTCCTGAGCACTCTCGCTGCTCCTCCACCCGGGTGGGTTTGAGCGCGAGCAATGAGATGTGGCAGGGATGGCTTGTGGTTGCCTCAGGTGCAGGGAGCAGCGCCGAACCCCACCAAAAAAAGCCTCACAGCTAAGTGCTTCTGCAGAGCTGGATCCGGAGTAAAACCTGAGCAGTGCTGTGCACGGTGGGGTGCTTCAGCAAGGGTATTTTTGTTTCCAGAAAACGCTGTATGTGAAACCCAACGTCACGCTAATGCACTGCTTTTGGATTGACGTCCTGCTTTAAGGAGTCTGTTCTAACGGCAACGCCATTAATTTCCTTTGATTTTGTCTTAAAGGTTACCACTTCAAAACTGGATTATGCCATATATTTTTATTTTCTTTTTTAAAAAGAAAAAAAAAAAGATTTTCCAGCCGAATCTATTCACAACTGACAACATACACTGAATATAGCTTTGGAGCGGTCCACTTATCCCAAACATCGCTTTTGCAGAACTCGTTAATCTATCCTACATTTTAATGCGAACAATATCAATTTATACTGTTAAATATATGTTCACGCTGGCACCTTTAATGGTTCATTTCCTGAGCTGTTCAGCAAACAGACTGTTTTTCAGTTCAGAATTTAACTGCCTCTCCCACAGAACGTGAACACCTTCAGTGATATAGCCTGGCTATTTTCTGTGTCTATATAACTCTTTCTTTGGGTAATGAAAACACCAGTTCAATATACATCAAATTGGAGAGCTGGTCTTGAATTCTAGAGGGCACATTTAGCTCTTTTCTCCAAAATGTACGTCCCAGAGAAGCCAGGACAAGGCAGGAAGCATAGATCTCCTGCACTGTAATTCAGCTGAGTAAGTTCTAGGTATTAAATAACCCCATTTTCGAATTTTTCAAAGAAAACAACTTACCTAACTCAATACAGGTAATTCCAAGAGACCAAACATCTACTTTGCCATCGTACTGCCCTTCATCCATGGCTAAAATCACTTCTGGGGCCATCCTACAATAGGAAATTGGTGCTCAATCAAAATCTGGGCAAGGGAACACGTTATCACCGTCAGTATTGCAATGAAACAGGCTGTTTCACTGATGTCAGCTGCCATAAGTAAATAATTCCCCAAGGTATCACCCACGAGCACGAGACACCGGGAGCAAAGGCCAGGCACCCGCTTTGCCCACCTCTCCATCTATGAGTATCACCACCTTCTCGCCCTCCCACATCTCCAACAGTTTAGTTGGCTGGCCAGTTCTGGTGAAGTAATAAGTAATTATAGCATGCAGTTGTGTAAACACCACAGATTAGGTGTAAGAGATCAAAAGCATACAAGGGATCTGCAAAGGGTTTTGGTCAATGAACCTGGCCTTTCCTATGGAAGAAAAAACACTTCAGTTATTTCAACAACCAGATGCAGTGAGAACACATGAATTGTTAAAACCACTGGGGGGAGTGATTAAAATGTATTACGGACGATTCAATCCCACCTCTACCACTTAAAGTCAGGGTAAGTAGAACAACAAAGTATTTTTATTACTCTTCGTGAACTACAAATACAAGGATTCACAATTTCTTCAAGTCAGAGCCTAATGAATCTTCTTTCGCAAAGTACATCTTATCACGACGACAACCAGAAGATTACAGAGCTAGCTCCACTAAAGCCCAAGTACATTAAACACCCCCCAAAATGATAATTTCAATTCACAAAAAGCCAGAAATGATTAAAACTCTTGGCTTACCAATATGGCGTCCCCACAAATGAGTTGGCAGGAGATGCTATGGAAGCAGACCCAAAGTCAGCAAGTTTCACCTGTCCTGGCTCTGTCAGCAGGATGTTTCCTGCCTTGATATCTCTGGTTATAGAATACAAATGGCAGTATTACTCCTCTCCAAAAAAAAAAAAAAAGGGAAAACCTTCTATAGGACTGACAACAAAACACACCAATATTCCCACGTTCAAGCTGCAGAGTGCACACATTTCCTCCAAATACAAAACCTTTAATTCTGTAGGTTAATTGTTTAACAGGGCTCTAGGTCTTGGAATCGAGTCTGTCTTAAAAAATCAGCTTCAAATGGTGCATCTCAATAAGCTCCATATACAGTTCAGCAAAACTTTCCGAGCCAACCACGTCCTTTAGAAGTGTTTTTCAGAAAGTCCCAATAATGTAACTATGCAAATCCTTCACCTTACTAAAACACAGAAAGGGTTTTAAATACAACCACCATTCGCATCCCATACTTACTGTGTGCTCCTCAGCACCTGTGTTCATGTAAAACTGATTTTCCAAGTATCACTGCTTCCCCCCTTGCCCCAGCAATTTTGCCTTGCAGTTGCTATTGAGGTGAACTCAGCCTGCCCTGCTGCTCGCTGCTTCAGGGAGCAATCAGCATCATACCAAGTATTGAAAAGCTCTGCAGATTCAGAGCAATTCTGCAGAAATTCTGAACCCCAGCTGTAATAGATAGATAGCTTGCTAGTGTTTGACTATGATAAATCACTAGTTTGGGAGCACATGGATACTGCGAAGAGAAAAATCTCTGCTTACTAATATTAAATTTGAGGTGAAGGGGATACAGTCAACCAAGGAAATTACCTGTAAGTGTGTGAGACAGCAAAAGTATAACCACTTACCTATGGATCATATTGTGAGAATGCAAGTATGCTAATCCCTGGAGAGCACCATGGGTAATTGCTGCTATTTCCACTTCTTGCAATGGCTTTTTATGAACTTCAGGAAAGAATTTATTTGAAATTCAATATTAAAGAAAACAATGAAGTTTGCAGCATGCAAGCGAGTACTGTTAACAATGTAAACACAGAGATAATACTAAAAAAGTTCCTTTTTACTAGGTTCAGCATGAGAAGCAAATGCAAAAATAGTTCACAGCTTAGAGTACATTCTATTAGCAGAAGTAATCTCCTAACTGTAAACCAGCAGCTGTTTACTATCAGAAAGACACCACTTCGCAACCATAAACCACATTCCTGCCAGTTCTGTGACCATTCTCCCAAACACCTATTTGAGGTTCAATATTCAATTTTCCACTAACAGAGCTAAATCCCAAACCCTACAACTTCATGACAAGTCACACATGAATAAATAAACTGTCTTGAAATGCTTCTGGCAAGGAAAGGAGATGATCATCTTACTGGCCACACATCTCTCTCCAAAGAAAGTTCACTTCAAGAAGCCTGACAGCAAAAGGACCATTTAACAAAAGACCTCATGGAGCAAAACCCTACCACTGCTGCAGTGCTATTTTCGTCAGCAGGCCTGCAGTTGTTAGTAAGCATTAGGATCAACAGCAAGGCTTTTCAGAAACAAATCTTGAAACGTCATGACAGGAGAACCTAAAACTCACAAGTAAATAAATAGCTGACTGACAACTTTAAAACAATACGAACCACGAAGAAACCAGGCACCTAGGAAAGCCAATGCTCCACAGAAACACCATTACAGCCGTGCCAGAATCTGAAAAACTGCAACTGTTCAGACACACTCTGCCCCCAAATAAAAGCAGACACGTTCAAAGACAAGTCTGTGATGCTGTAAAACCTCCTACTTCAGCACTACACTTCCGACTTCCCACCAAAGAAACATGCGTGACGTACCTTCTAGTAAGTCTGATGCTGATCCTAAACAATATTCCATAACAAGCTGCATGGGAAGAAATCAAAACAGTCGTTAGAAAAATCTCTAATACTCCATGTATGTTTTCTAGATTGCTATGGAGAAATAATCTAGAAATAATCAGTGGTGCATGCAATGCAGACTGCCATCAGAAAACAAATATTGTTGTAACATAAGCCCCATCCTAGCACTGACCCTCCCACAAGGACGGCTCCAACCGGCATGAGTGTAGCCTTCCTCTGCAAGGTATCAAGCAACAAAACTCGTAAGGAAGGCAAAAATATTCATAACCAGTTATGTATTGCATTACACATCTTACTTTGTATGCACGTACTTAACAGGAATGGTAAATTGCACGTAACAAGCTTATCAGAGCGTTAAAGGCCTATTCAGGAATTTACTTAAGATTTTGTCCCAGTCAGATTTCAAAAAAGGAAGCTAAAACTTTGTCCTACAGATGTATTGATGCTAATACATGAACAGTGCTTACAATTTAAACTATTAGTTCAACAATACTTCTTCAGTGTATCGTACCACACAAACTTTGTCATTGAGAGGTGCTACATCACACTTCTCATTTGGCAAAATGCTTCCCTCTGCATAGCAAATCACATCCATTCCCACACACGTTTTTATGCACACAAACTGCAATAATCCAAACTTCGTTTGGGGTTTTTGTTTAAACCAAATGTATTAAATTAATTAGGAGACGACAGCCAGAGATAAAACAGGTAGTTGATTTTGTCACCTAAACGCACGCACACAAAAATTACAGCAGAAGTAAACAATACACAACAGGAGAATTTAGTTAATATAAATTGTAACAACTCAAAATGTACTTAAAGTACAATTATCAGTGGGATTTCTAACCTACTCCACACAAAGTACAACTGAACGCTTACTCCTGGAACACATGCAGTCAACCAGTAAAGTACTGAACACCAACAGTCAGTGGCACACCAAACGCGGTGTGAAGTGACCCGCAAGTATCTCATAATTAAAGCTGCCACACTTGCTTCCCAGGCAGTGCAAGTGAAATTCTCACCTTTCCTTACAGCAAGAAAAGCGATGGATAAATCTGTTGGGCTCCTCACCTCCTCCGTTATTATTTCTTTCAAATAATCAGCGCATCAAGCTAAATACACCAGAACAGCACAAACACCTTACTTTGCAAATGAAAGGGAAAACTTCCCTACATCTTGTTTCCAAAAACCACACTTGGTTTTGCTGAGCATCTGTAAGGTCCTTGGTTACTCTCTTGTACCCCGTGCAAGTGTTCAGGTGCATTTTGAAAGCCAGTTGGAGGTATTTTACAGTGCCCTTAACCAAGGCATGAGAAGAGCAGAGTGCTGCAGATGCTTACCCATGCCGTATGCTCCCGCAAATAGCAGCCTTTGTATTCTATACTGTTGGGGTGTTTTATTCTTTGGAGGAACTTGACTTCCTTAATAATATCCTGCCATTTCTGTAGAAAAAAAATAAAAGGAATAGAGAGATTTTATAAAAACTGTTACCTTTTTTCTGGCTGTTGTTAATATGTCGTTCAATTGTTTTAAGAGGCAAAACCATCTTACGGTTCTAAATCAAAATAAATTCTCATCAACACCATGAAGTTCACTGCTTAACTCCTCAACAGATCTACAGAGTAACAAGTTGATCAATTAGGCTGTATGGGAAGGGTTTAATGATCTCTCATCAATGCAATACGGTATATTTGTATGTATGCACAGGATATACTGGCAAACACTTAAAAACTGAGCATGTTCTCAAAAAACCAAGCAAACCTTTTTTAAGGGATACCATTTCTTTTGTCAAACCAAACAGAGATGACAACCTGGAAGAGATGTGGACCATAAGTGTCCTTCCGTAGGATCACCTGTCCTCACCTAACTCCTGTAGATATAAAGACCCATCCCTACTTGTAACTGTATCACCCTCCATTTATCAGCCGCCAAATGCCTGACTGCATCCTGCATAACCTTTCTCCATTACCAGTTTAGTCTTTACCAGGACCGATTTTAAATGAGTTACCTACTAGATAAGGGAAGGCTTCTGCAGGAGTAAAAGAATAAACAAAATCCAGGTTAATAATAAGGGGAGCTCTAGAGGCCAAAATGTCATTTTCCAATGGGTGTCAGGCACTGCCGTTTCTCCCCTTGGAGGAAATCGCCAATCCCTCCCAGTCGCTGCACATCCACACCTTCCCGGGCAAGGCAAAAGCTTGTAAGTGCAACTGCAGAATTACAACTACTGGAAAAGATCTGTTCAAAACCAAGCGCAGGAGCTGAAACCGTGCAAGTCTGCAGCCGTCAACATGGCAGCGCTGACACTGGAAACACTTTTGAGAGAGTATCAGTCACACCAAGAGGGGCAGGAGTTGTTTTCCAGGTCCTGTCACGCTCTCAGCACACACGTCCTCAGGCACAGATGTGGCGAGGATTCACAGGACAGAGGTCCCATATACCCAAATGCTTTGGAAATCACGTACAAAACCAAATCTTCCCCAGGAAAAATTTAGTGTTATAGAAACTAATGAAACCGGGAAAATGGTGGCCATGACCGAGGCAGCTACTGACTAAGCATTTCACAGAATCACAGAATGGCTCGGTTGGAAAAGCCCTCTGAGATCATCACGTCCAACCGTTCCTGTCTACCCCCTAAACCATATCCTTAAGTACCTCATCTACCCGCTCTTTAAACACATCCAGGGATGGGGACTCCACCACCTCCCTGGGCAGCCTGTGCCAGCTTCTGACGACCCTCTCAGGAAAGAACTTCCTCCTTCTCTCTAACCTGAACCTCCCTTGGCACAGCTTGGTGCCATTTCCCCTTGTTCTATCCCCCATCACCTGGGAGAAGAGCCCAGCACCCACCTCTCTCCAAGCTCCCTTGAGGCAGTTGGAGGTGGTGATGAGGTCTCCCCTCAGCCTTCTCTTCTTCTTAACACCAGAAATGCAATGACATTAGTGCAGCTACACTAAAATAAACTCTCTTGCCAACGTCCTTTTTCCAACACAAGAACAACTCGGTTGCCTGTTACCTTTAGGCTCAAAGGCTTTGAGGTACTAAGCAATAAAAGCCAAATCAAGAAAGTGCCACACTAAACTTCTATATCGGGGAGAGAAAGGTGATGTATTAGTCAAGACATAGTCAAGATCTCCTGCATGAAAAAAAAAAGCTCCAAGATCACATTAAGAGCACAGTACTACACATTTCTAAGGTTTTGAACTTAATTTTAGAATAAAATAGGTCCTTGTTTCAGAGAATGATTGTTCCCACCAATGATAAAACCTTATTATGAAACGAAGGTAAACACAAACGATACCAGAATGCCCTTAATCAATTCTCTTTACACAGGCTCGATCATCATTTTAGCCAACTTCTGAACAAAACAAATAAACATAGAAGAAAAATAGAAAGTGTTTTAAACCTGGTCTTGTTACTTTCTTCAAAATAAAGAAACATATGCATTGAAGACAAACAAAAGCTATTTCTGAAGCATGCACAGTTTGTTTCATTCACGTGAACAGAGTATTTATAGCTCACAGTAATTAAAACAGTAGGACAAGTAGTAAGTACAAATTATTCTTTCACCAAGTACACAGTTAAACAAGTCACTGCAGGGACAAAATAGAAACACGCATGGCAAATTTCACTCTGAAGCCAGAATTTGGGGACTGCTGGAGAGACACTGCCACCTCTACCTCCTACACGGATACACACACAGAGAGGAAGGAACAGCTCAGCTCCGTGTAGCGCAGATGATCAATACACCAAAGGCACAGAAAGCAACGAGTTGTTCAGTCAAACTCATTGGAGCAAAACCACTCCTAGGGCTGGAATACAGAGAACAGAGGGAGGGAACCGTAAATGGCTCCAACACCACGGTTACAATAAACACTTCTGTTGGAAAACCGTGCCACGATTTGATAGATGTCGTTTCCCAGAAATAAGACCAACTCAGCTGTTCACGTCGTGTTGGGTTTTTCAAGAATCTGTATTAGCACTTAAAACATTTCAAGTATAAAATCAATTATCTCTGTTAAGCGTCCTAAGGAAAAAACCCACATCTGGGGTGGCCACGAAAACACTCAGCGTTTAAATCTCGGAGGCCTACTTTCACAGCCCTCTCTGCAAAGACTGCCTTAATCCCCAGCTCTGGCAGCTCTTCCGTAATTATGCTGCTGTTCAGATTTTCACGCTTATTCATTCACTGCTGGTTTGGCTTTTGTTTTAGCTCCTCATCAGCACAGTCATCCCAGGGAAGAATGCATTCTGCCTTACTACTTCGTACACGAAAAACTCCCTTTGAATCTTTCACTACTGCACCCACTGCTATTGTTCCTTTGTCCAGTAAACACCACAGTTATTTCAAAAGGTGTTTAATATGGAGTATTTAAGGGCAATGAGACACATTAACATACACAACTACAATTTTTAATTATTTTTTTTGCTTTCTACACATTTATGTTGCCTCATAAGAGAGCCCATTGTGTCTGGAAGCAATGAGTCCTACCTGTCTTTTCCAGGAGCAGATTTGGTGTAAGTGCACTGTGAACAGTAAATCAGTGTTTTCTTTACACTGCACCTTCATTCACCTTTACAGATACAGGAAAAATCCCCTCTTGCTGTAGCCCAGGCTAATTAAAATAACCCCATATAATAAGTACTCGCAACAGTCAAGGTTTAACGTGCAACACATTCTACGTACCTCGTTGGACTGCTTCCCGCTATACGACATTTTCTTGATGGCCACCACTTCGTTGGTGCGCACATCACGTGCCTGCAACGCGAAAACACGATGCATCAGTTCCTCAGATCACGGTTTCCCGTAAGACGTAAAACAAACACACCCACAATGAATAAATGAAAAATCTTCATCTGTTACTGAACACTTGCAGAGTTAAGGTAAAACATCTCCGAGGGGTGTAACTGCAGGAGATTCCTGCTCCAGACACCAGCGGCTTTCTCCCCAGTGCTGCCACAAATCCCCTCTTGTGTCCTAAAGGCAGATCATACAGACGGCAGCAGCACCTCCGCATTCCCTTTCAGACTTGCACTTGCTCCATCCAACATTTTTATTCTTATTTATACTGCGCAATAAACGCACGTGGTTTTTCACACTTCGAAGGCAGAATTCCTGACTTCAGATGGCAACGACCCAAGATAAGAGCACACAAAAAGTTGTGTTTAGCACCAAAGCGACGGCTCATCCCCTCTGCCAAGGGAAGAGGCAGCGCCGGCGTGCAGGGAAAAAACCCCGAGTCTCTCCGACAAAACGTAATCAACTCGGACACGGAGCCAAACGATATAAATCAAAAAAATGTGCGCCACAGCATTCACTGATGACTGATGAAAACGCTGATTTTTAATATACTTGTACTATCAAGCACGGCCTATCAGGGATTAATGAGGTACTGAGACGCTGCCTTTTGTAAAAAGGTTTTGCGGTCATGTTTTAATTCTGCTGCTCATTGAAGAGATTCCCAGAATTCCCTGTCAGTCTCTATTTCAACCAGTTATGGGAAGCTTCAACCACTTTTTAGTTTCATGTCCGTTTGCGAGCATCCTTCCCACCATCTCACTGACACTGCACTACCTCTAAGGTTGGGGCAGGGCAACTTTTTGGGGTTTTTTTTGAGGCAATAAAGAATACAATTCTGCCTCCTGGCTCTTTCCTAACTCTGAAACATTCAAATAATATTCAAATATTGCCTGCACGAACAGAGGGGAGCAAAATGCTGGAGCAGAGCAGAAGGAAGAGCGCTCTGACAAAGGAGTGGGTTATTCGGCTGCTCCATCTGCAGTGCTCCAGTGTAGTAGGTTTCCTGTGTCAAGCAAAGCTATTATTACACTGCAGAGCAGGGAGGGGGGCAAGGATAATACCAAAATGATTCAGAGGTGCCAGACTCGCAGTTTCTAAGAAACTAAACCCATGAGGTGAACCAGCGAAATTCATGTCAATTATGAAAGAAAAAAAGAAAAGAAAAATAAAATAAAAAAAGAGAAACTTTCCGGCACTGCAGGATGTAGCAGAAACAAAGAGAAAGACAAAAGTGAGCACTCTTAGGCCGTTATGCAAGATAAATGCATGAGCCCTTCTCGGGATCACTGCTAAAGGGGAAGAAAGGTGGGCAGAGCTAATGATGAAAGATTAAACTGTATTTTAAAAAAAGCCAGGGGGAGATTTCAGGATTATACGGATTTTTCAACTTGTAATTACTCCCACATCTATTTATGACCACCAGGTTTGGTCCAGGCTGCGTGCAGACTGGTGTGGGGTGCTACGTGTCAGAAAACCCAAGCGATTGGGTTGTGTTTCCTAACAGCGACCGCCCCTCGCTATGGGGGGGGGGGACAGAACCATCACAGCTGATGCCCCAGGGATGTTACGACCACGAAGTTTCATGCTGCGTGCAGACTGGTGTGGGGTGCTACGTGTCAGAAAACCCAAGCGATTGGGTTGTGTTTCCTAACAGTGACCGCCCCTCGCTATGGGGGGGGTGACAGAACCATCACAGCTGATACCCCAGGGATGTTACGACCACAAAGTTTCATTTGCTTTTTGTGATCTTGAATAACTGAAAAAAGACAGTTCCTAGACAAAAGCCAGGAAGATGTTACAGGCCAGCTACGTTAAACAACTCAAATGAAGGAGGCTTCGATTATGGCAGATATTTATGTGCATATATCCTGCCCTCCTCTGAAAACCCCGTACAAAGGACCAACATCTAGTGCCCAGAGTAACTTCAGCAGCGATACAAGCAAAAGCACAAGCAAAGAAAAGGTGGAATACATCATAGGCTTCGCTTTTAACCAGTTATTAACTACAATCCAATATTACATTGATTAGAGAAAGTTTAATTGGTTGCATTAGCAGAATGAAAATCTTGTTAGAGAAATTTAAGAGACTTTTTTCCTCTAGCTTTACAGAGGATAAAGGACCCCAGACATACACTCCTCTACCTTAGTTCTTTACGCTTATCTAATTGACACAAAATATCGTCCTCCACGTTGTCTTTCTCAGCTTTTGGGCTCCTCTTTGAGGTATGGAGTACATTACATGAAACAGTTTCAGATTCCAGATCTTAGACCTGCTAGCAGTAAAAAGATACCACGATACAACACACAACTCACAGGTTAAAGCTTCTTAACACAGAGATAGCAACAGTGCATCTCCATTGCTGGAAACTCCCTTTCCCTTGACAAAAATAAAGCCCCTAAAGGGATTTGAGTAGCCCGACGCACTGCTTACATTTGCCTTTTTGCAAGTGCCAAATGAGACGTATTTTCTGTCAAAGCAGCACAATCCAAACACTGTCAAGTAATTGCCCTCTTCAGTGAGTAAATACCAACCTGTAATGAATTGGTAGCCTAAAACACTGGGGAAAAAAGAGAAAGAAGGGCCTAGAAATTAATGACCTCTTACTTCTGATCTCCTTGCAGAAGGAGCTGGTAATGGGCAATCAGTCCTCACCACAAATACAAAGTTCGGGCATCTACAAGCGCCGCGATGGTTTGGGAATGCTGCGCGCACATTTCCAGTGCTGGTTTTCCGTACCTACGTGGTTCACAAAATACAGCACTCCTGAAAAACTTCAATAGTATTTCCACGTAGCAGGAAGACAGATTCGTCAGCTCCCCTCTTTCTTTATGTATTTATATTTCTCTCTATGTCCACTCTTCAACCAAAGTGAGCAGAAGAGATGTAGCAAAGGCCGCAGGTGAGAGCTGTTTCAGTAGAAAACACTTCCTCCCCCAGCTCTGTTCCCAGACAGTGGTGGCTCATAGTTTTAAGCAGGGAACAAAATTAAGCAGCTTTTCCTAATTAGTTCATCTGTGCTGCATTAAATTTGTGCTGGAAGGTTCCCAACATGGTCTGCTGCAATTATTAACAGTGAATAGGCATCTCGTAAAATACTGACACAAATGGTTTTCTGAAGGAAAATTGGCAGGTTCGGCCACACCTCCTGTAATTATAAATGTGCAAAGATTTTCTGAGGAAAAAATGTGGTTTTAATGACGGTGTCACAGTGTGCACTTTGGTGAACATACAGCAACCTGCAAATGAGGTTACCCTGAGACATCCCCACCTCTGGGTGAGCCATACAGCCAGCCTGGGAAAAATTCGGCTGTCCAGACCTTCACGTCAAGTTAAGTTTTATGCAGATGAACACTGGGATTCTTGAAGGATGTGACAGGACAAATGGCAATAAAAGCACCAACAGTCAGGTGTCAAGCACAAAGCACGGCTCTAAGGGAGCCTGGGGGTATGCACGAAGGGAGAGAGAACTCAATTTCTCTCCAGGGAAAAGAGGTGAGGAGAGGATCAGACCAAGAGATCTGCACTGCCAGTCAGGATCCATGCAGCAGAAGTCCATGTTTTAATTTAAAATCCTGGTTTGCAGTGGAACAATGCACCTAAAAGCACTGGGAAAGAGCCACATTTCCAGGGATTTCTTTTCAGTTTGTGCAGATGCACAAGAATCTCCTTCCCAAACGCCACGCAAAGATTCACTGTAGCTCCTTTTCCTCAGTACATTCAAAAAAATCGACGTGCACAGATTCAATATAAAAAGAGACACAGCTAAAATTCACAAGTCGAAGCTACTTACAAAATAAACTGCTCCGAAGCTCCCATGGCCAATCTCTCGGAGATCTGTGAAGAGCTTTTCTGGATCTTCTTTGAAGAAGAGCTCTGCAATCTCGGGGTCCTTCAGGCTGCCCGCTCGGCTAGTTGATGGCATCCTGCTGGGCAGTCAGCCGACCGACTATCTGGGTTTAAAGTGCTGCCTCAACCCTTGGTTCATCTGTATGAATGGGGCCTCTTCAGCATGGATCACTGCAAGAGAAAGATTGCAAGCCTTCACTGAATATCCTCTTCTCAAAGAGCCACAAACAAAGCTGCAGCGGAGCAGCTTCCACTTCGTCCCTGTTGCGTGAAGCGACGCAACCGATGCGCTGGGATAACGGCACGGTCCCGCTGCGACAGCAGTCGGGCATTTCTGCAGAACCAAACCGAAATCAAAGCACCACATAAAACACATTCCTTGCTTCAGCATCTGCTCGGTCACCCGCAGTGGGAACAGAACCTCTCTGACCCACAGCGATAACCAGTTTGGCATCAGTGAGCCCGCATTACCTTGGCATCCTCCCTCTGAAGGGTTACACTAAGTAAGTGCTAAGTAAATGTCTAAGTAATGTCTAAGTACTGCTTGGACTTTGTGAGTGGTGTGTGTGTGGGTGACACAACTGCATATGTATACACACACATATGTATATATATCTCATGGTCTCTGCAAGACAAGATCTATGGTACAAACACGACGTGTACAAATCACCACAGCCATTTACCAATCTGTGTTCATGTTTTTTTAACTCAGCTCAGTATTTTCTTCTTCTGCAATTGCACTCTGGTTAAGAAGCAGCCGGTGATCAGTTTTCACTCGTTTCAGCATGCATGCAGAGACCTCTCTAAAGCTTCCCCTTCCACAACTAAGTCAGTCATGGTCCTATTTGGGTTGTTTTGTTTCTCTTATCTAACTAAATTCACAACCTCTATCTCTTCAGAGCCGTTCGCAACCCCCTTTAGAGGAACAGCACCCACAACAGGAGACACCCACTTGCACACAACACATCTTTCTGCTCTGCTGAAGCAGATGCAAACACACATTTTAATGGTGACAGCACACGACGCAGCCTCCCGCAACAGCCTATTGGCAAACACTTTCTTCAGAGGAATCTGCAACTTCAGACGCCATTGGGAATGAACAAAACCTTTTCTGCTCGCACCGCGCATTTGCTTTCATTCACTCAAACTGTGTACTGGAACCTGGCCAGAATAACAGTGTACGTACAAGTACTTGTAAAATCTTGCTGTATCTTTACAACAGGTGAAGCCAAACAACCATCACAAGTAAAATGCATAATTTTTTTTCCTCCTAAACGAAGGGCCTGGGTATTGGGATTTCCTCTCAACTGTCACCAAGAAAAACAATTTTGTGTTTTTACACAGAACACAACAGCTGATCACACAGCTCGTCTCTTTCAAAAAATCCCTGTCTGGTCAAGACTTGTGCTTTTTTAATTCATATCTCAAATTTGTTTCTTAAAACAGTTTTACATCTTCATAATGGAGGAAAAAACCCCAACCCTGAGTTTAACCAATGCATCAGAACTCCCTATCCCTGTTCATTTTTCCTCCATTTCTCGACACTAAACCCCACCTTTCTCCCAGCCTCCAGAGCATCAATGAATCATTTGTTTTCCCCTCCCTGTGGAGGAATTCCTCCAAGGATGGAAAAAGACGCACTCCTGCATGTTCGTGCTCAGTGGTACTCTTCTGCAGACGGGTGCAGCGTGGGGAAGTGCCAAAGACCAGCGGCTCCCTGTCAGTTCAGCATCACGGTTGTGCGAGGCAGCCAGGACATACCTGGCTGTACGCAGCAGCCTCCAGGTTTTCCGATGAAGACAAGAGTGGGAGAGAGAACGCAGGGAAAGGAACCAAAACCCAGCATTTCCACAGCTTTCCTCCAAGCAGTCAGCGTTCGAAACAACTTTTAACACAACCCAATGTGCTGCCATGATTTCTCGAGGAAAGAACGCCATTCGAATCCCAGCGGTGGACCAGTTGTAAGGACACATACACATACACACACACACACAGAAAACAGGCAGCTGCTCCCAGCTGTGCACACACATTGGTGCGGGATCGCTGCAGGAACCTCCGAAGCAGACGGCACCGGCACAAGACGTACGCGGCTGCCAGCGCTGCCAAGCGAGGTGCTCAGGAGCGGGGCTGCGATATCCCCACCTTCCGTTGCATAACGCGGTAACCAACACCGTGTGGGAAGGGAAATAATCAGCTGCAATTCAGCCCCTACCTGAAGCACGCCACATTTAGGAAGACTGCAAAAAGTTACACGTTATTTTTTATTTTTTTTTGTTAATTTTTCTTCCTTTCTTTCAAAGGAGCCAACAATATTCCACTTGATTCTAACGAGCACGTAACAGTGAAAGACAACTGTTTCACATTTACAGCCCCCGACGAAACAATAGACAAAAAGCATCAGTCAGAAACGGGAGAGAAAGGAGCTGGGGGAAGGGAGCTGATAACCAGAGCACGCTCAGTGTTACTGAAGGAATGCTTCTTGGACCGACGGTAATGATGTCATGTTCCATCTTTTAAGAAGCATCAGATTCTTACAAAAAGGACATTGTTGTTGAAAAGCAACTGCTGCAATCCCAGTCATCTGTTCCTCAGAGGGGGCAGGCTTGGATAAACCTGCTCATGTGGCCCAAAGTCCCACGGCGTGAGAGCCGGGGCCAGGAGCAAACCCCGCACACATGCGGCTGAGATGGATTAGGGCTCTCTCCCTCTCCCCACCTACCCCCACGCCAAAGCAGCCACCAAAATCGTTCTTGGCGTCATTTCAGAGGGCACCTCTGGAATATCATCGGTAGGGAACGCTTTTTACCGCTGCTAAAGCTCTGACCATGCAGCACAACGTGGTACGGGACTGGCTGCTGCGCTGCCGGACTTCAAATGGCAAAGCAGAGCATCATCCTCATCTATCGCGATACACCTTAAAATACAGCTTTAATCCTGAGAGCAGCGAGACAAACTTAATTATTCTTGGAAATGATCGCTGCTTTGAAATGCACGAGGAGAAAAACAATCAGTATTTAAACCTATTTAACAGAACAGTCAGAAATGTGTGTGTGACGCTATGCTTATCATTTGACCTGCTCAGATGGAACAATAAAATGCATTAATGTAAATTCCATCCAAAAGAAAACCTTACACAGTCTCACTTAATAAAGCGCTCCCATTTTTGATGGATGCTACACTATTAAATTCCCTCAGTCGCCTTTGTACCCGGGTAGCGCCCGCAGCCGAGATGCTCTGCGCCTCCTGCCTTGCCCTGACAGCACCTGAGCGCTCTGGGGAAATGGAAGTGAGGTTGGGAGAAGTGGCACGCAACGGGCTTATTGCATTGTTTTAAATGTATTAGAAATAAAGATGAGTCTTAAGACTAAAAAAACCCAAAACCTGCAACTAAACTGCACTGAAAATTAAGTCATTTACCAGCAGGCAGCTGGTTTTGTAAATCACAGTCAAGTTGCACTTCGGTATTTCGCATTCTTCCATCAGTGCGGCCTCATCGCTCCTGTTTTTTTTGGATGGGTGCAGCTATACTGTTAAACACAACAGTTGCAGTGGATGGGTCTGATCCTCTCACCTTGCACAGCTCAGACGAGGTGGTCGGATCCTGCTTGTGGCCAAGAGAAGGCACCGCAAATGGGATACAGCACCCTGCGACCATGCCCGCCTCTGCTGGCTGAAGAGGCAGTCAGCCTTGCAGGCTGCTAAGATTGGATCAAATACATTCTGTATTTTTCCTAGTTATCACTCACACAAAGAGAGAGCATTGCAGTGCGTGAACACAGCTACTGGTACTTGGATCCATTCCATCCATAACCATAAAGTGATGTCAGAACATAAGAAAGATTCAAAATAAACCATGAATGACCAAGGCACAAGACTGGAGCAACTCTACTTCCATACAGCAGGCTGAACCAGCTACGTTTAGTTAGCAGCTACCATTACTAGTGCAAATTACACAATTTACAGGCCAAAGCATTTTCTCAAATGACTTTCAGCCGAACAACTACCGGTTAGCAGAACTGGCACGCACATATCCACAGACCTCTCTGGATCAGTAAGAGGTTACATTCCCTGTAATTACGGCTCTATTAAACGTACGCACGCACACCTTGAGGCGCTGCCACGAGGAAGCTGAAGCCGAGGACAGGGTCAGACCTGTTCTGAGATTTGGGCTCCCTGCCGTGTCCGTCTGAGGCTGCAGCAGACCCACCCCTGTGACTAAGAGCCCCTGGGATGCTGCGGAGCAGAGGCAGCCAAGCTCGCCGTGGTCAGCTCCCATGTTTAACACCCATATTTGAGCTACAGAGACCTCGGAGACATCAAAATCTCTCCACGGTATAAAATATCTGATGGCTGTCGGTGGCATAAATGAGTAACTGTTTTCATGTCACAAACCAACACACTAAGAAATGTACCCAGCCTTCCCTGCAAAGTGAACGCACCCACTGAGACTTTCACCTATTGCTGGTGGGTGTCATTCCTCACGTCATTTTTCCTTACTCCTCACATTCACATCCAGTGTGTGACGGTGACCGGAAGGCAGCTGGCTACAACAACCATGAGATGCATCAAAGCACCCATAGCTCCTTAAGAGGGAGCAAAAGTTTGCAGAACTCAAAATGTGACCACTGCAACGCAGGTTATGAGCACCATAAAAAGCAGCACGCCTTGTCCTAACAAATGAGGTTTCAAGGAACAAACATACTCACCATCCTTCAGCTTCTGTACACAAGAATATTATAACTGGAGTCAGACAAAACCCACACGAGCACAAAATGGGATTAATGAAGAGATTTCTGCTCCCATCATCCTGTGTTCCTCTCCATTTCACCAGCCTACATGGATGATGCCAACAGGAATGCTGTGCTGTCTTACCGAGTTATAAACAAAAAATTGTTTGCAATTTGAGACTTAAGTCTCGTTTTATGTAACACTCACCTGACTGCTGATCTGCACCCATGACCTTCGGGGCTGCCCCAGGTAAGAGCAAAGACTATAAAGTGAATATCCAACACAGAAAACTACTGGGCCTTTGGAGTTCTTCTTATGCAAAACCGAGGGAGGGGGAAACAACCAAAAATACCCCATCTCCAAACACACCACCAAGAAACAACAGCTCACCACAACATGACTTCACACAATCACAGAATGGCTCGGTTGGAAAAGCCCTCTGAG